CACGTTGAAGACCATCGAAAAAGTCCTCAACTCACGGCCATCGCGCAGGTGACGATGCAGGGTTTGCGCCCGAAGTTTTGCTATTGGACGGAGTGTTGTTGTTGATGTTGTTGATGTTGATGTTGATGTTGATGATGTTGTTGTTGTTGTTGTTGTTGTTGTTGTTGTTGTTGTTGTTGTTGTTGTTGTTGAACATTATTAATTCTAAAGAATAATTATTGTTGGGCCCCCTGGTGCGCGCCCCCCCCGCCGCGCCTAGGCCGCAGCCACGTTTTCATCATTTTCGTGAGGAAGCCTCAGGTAATTCGAGTTGATCAAGATCCGGTTGTTTTGTTGTAATCCGTTTTCCCTTGCAAAAAACACTATAAAATGACATTTCTTGTTCTAATATAATCAAATTTCAAGAATCCCTTGCAAAAAATAAGGTAAAGTGGACATTCGCGCGCGCAAGACGAAATCCTTCCAAAAGCTTAGTGTTCGGAGCGATTTTAACATAAAAACATCAAAAAACCAATGGTTTTTCAACAAAAAAATGTCAAAATCTCATCCCGCGCGCTCTTGCGGATTCGTAGGAAACCCAACACTTTTTAAACATTTCTGTCAAACGGGCTTTTGCGAGCAACTTTTTCGAACTTCTGCGACAACGGTTGCGCACCTGCCAGGGCCATCATCCCTGTCAAATAATACCATGCGGGACACATTCGTTTTTTCTTCGCGCGCGCACGCCGAAATCTCCAAAAACCATTGGGTTCTGTGGGTGTGTACCCCACGCCAGTGTAGTAGCCACGGTCGTCCGCACGCCACGAAGTGAAGTGTCCCAACGTCATAGGGCGGGAAGCTGGGTTTGGGTGGTCGCGAAGAGTCGTTTGGATATTTGGTAGAGCTTGTAATGCCCCCCCACGAAGTGGGGGTATTGCCTGGTGTCGTATGAAAACCCTGGCACTGGGGAGAACACCACGCGTTCGGGTAAAATGATTGTTGTTGTTGTTGTTGTTGTAGCGAGCGCTCGCCATGTCGACTCCAGCCGCTGCGGCCCACCATGCTTATGCAGGTGCGAGAGCCTCAGATGTGATGCCGGACGTGGCGCCACACCAAAACGCGCCGATATGCCCAAGGCATTCCCAAGAGCCCAGACTCGCGATGTCCATGCGGAGGAGATGTGCTTCTACTTGTGCAATTGCGGTTTTGATCTTGTCCACCGACTTAGCGAGCTGCAAGTTAGAGCTCCCTGTGACCGCCATTATCTGCTTGATCTCGGCCATGTCGTTCTCGGCGGCGTCCTGGCGCTCGGAAATGGGGGCTGTGACGCTGCGCGCGTGCTCAATGAACTGGGCTTGCGCGTCGGCAGAAGCCTTCTCTGCTGTGACAGCTGTGGCTTCGCCCAGCTGCTGGGCCAGGAGCTCATCCAGGGCGCGCTTGAGGATATCACTCTTGCCTGTGCTCGCGGCGGCAGCAGTATCGCACCGTCGGACATCCTTGAACATCTTTCACGCTCTGCTGCTGGGGAGAGGGCATCGGGGACTCGGGCATCTTGGCTGTCCACTCCGCCGGCTCCGTCAGGGCATCCTGTCGGCCTTCGCGCGGCGGCCGCCCTCTCTGCCACTGCCGCGGACATGGAAATACGTGAAAGGGGGAAACAATATCGGAAGCTGACCATTGAACAAGGGTGTGCCGTGGAAATCTGCAGGTGCTTTGCCTGCCAACATTGGGATCTTGAGCCAAAACGGCTACAGAAGGAGGAGGAGGAGGAAGAGGAGGAAGAGAAGGAATACCAGCAGAAACATAAGACGTATCAACGATGTTGCAATCAACCTTCCCTCCAAATTTCCTTTTCGTCGGGCCCTGCAAGAGTTTACACTTACTCCGGGAAATGCCCCGTTGGAAAGCAAACGTCTGAGAGTCCCTTATCGTGTCAAAAGACCGCTCCCGGGAATTCAGCGTCGCGAATCAACGTGACTGTTGCGCCCTGGCAAACCTGAGCCGCGCCAGAACAATGTTCCTTCCATTTCAACACCGCGAATCAACATGACGATTGCGTTTTGGCAACCATAAGCAGTCCCAGAGCGCGGCGCGCATCATCATCATCATCATCATCATCATCATCATCATCATCATCATCATCATCATCATCATCATCATCATCATCATCATCATCATCATCATCATCATCATCATCATCCTTATCACCATCACCATCATCATCATCATCCTTATCACCATCACCATCACCATCATCATCATCATCATCATCATCATCATCATCATCATCATCATCATCATCATCCTTATCACCATCATTATCATCAGCAGCGTCGTCATCATTATCATATCATTATGTTCCCCCTCCTCCTCCTCCTCCTCCTCCTCCTCCTCCTCCTCCGCACCACCACCACCACCATCATCACCAGTAGCAGCATCAGCAACATCATCATCATCATCATTATCATCATCATCAGCATCATCATCATCAACACCACCACCACCATCATCAGCAGCAGCATTATTTCCTGGTGGGCACATTTCCTGTTTTCTTTGGGGGGGTAGGAGTTTGCGAACGCCCATCCGGGGCCTCCGAAGCCTCCAAATCAACACTCCGTGGCCTCCCAGATGCCCGAGATGCCGAACCCAGCTTCAAAACAGCGAACGAAGCCTGGAAGACGCCCCAGGAAGGCTCCAAGACGACCCCGAAGGGTCCTGATAGGCTACCCGCGTCGTCGTCAACATCGTCAACATCCTCGCCATTGTTTTCCTCCTTTTCCTCATCATGATCGCCACGCTCTACTCGCCCCTGCCCTTCCTTCGTGCCCCTCCCCCCTCCAGATGTACATGCGGCCCTGCTCGCCTCACTCTCCTCCTATTCATTCCCCCCCCTGTGTTCCTACTCCTCCTCAATCTCCTCTTCCTCCTGCCCCCCTCCTCATCTTGCTCCCCATGCTCTGCACCCTCCTCCCCGACCTCAGGGTCGGCGGGACTGGCCGTAAGGCCGCCGCAATAGTCCCAGAGCGCGGAGCTAAGGCGAGAACCGCATTTTGAAAAAGAATCGCCCTCCATCCGTGAAAGAGTTGCACACTTTCAAAGCGAATGAGCGCAGCGCTAAGGCGAGAACCACATTGCGAAAAAGATCAACCCTCCCTCCTTGAAACGGTTTCAAATCTTTTAAACGGGTGTGCGCGGCGCTGGCGCGAGAACCACAATGTGTAAACGGCCCGCCTTCCACTCGTCAAACGGTTGTAAGGTTCTACAACTAATGCGCGCGGCGCTACGGCGAGAACGACATTTTGCAAACGGCCCGCCGTCCATCCGTGAAACTGTTGCCCACTTTTTTGCTTCAGAATCATAAGGCGTGAGGAAAACTCAGGGGAAGCGCCCGGCCCGCCCTACCGGCACGTCTCGGGGTGCGACAGGGAGTTGTTTGTAAGGACGAGGCATGGAGGAGGAGGGGGAGGAGGAGGAGGGGGAATACGGTCGGACCTGGGACAGAATAGCATCCTCCAAGAGGCCCTCCGCCGCGACAGAAGAACCATCCTTCAGGGTACCCTCCCCCAGGATGCATAAGAACGTCCAACAAGCACGAAAAGCATCAGGGCACCCTCCCCGAACCAGCCTCGATCTCGTACCGGCCCTACCGCATGCAGGATCCAAACCTTCGACGTCGTGCTTTTCGCGACCTGAGCGCTCTGGCGCTCTCGACCCGGGTCCCCCTGGGGCCAGTTCTGCGCCGCGGGCCGTTCTTTGTTTGTGTGCTCCCCGCTCCCCCCCCCCTGGCTGGCGCAGGTGTTAGCCCGTCCCCTCCCGATCCTTGGCCAACGCACACTGCCGCCCTCGTGCCGCAAACTCGCACTCCCTCCCCCCCGACGGAGGCGGGGGAGGAGGAGGAGGAGGAGGAGGATGAGGAGGAGGAGGAGGAGGAGGAGGAGGAGGAGAAGGAGGAGGAGGAGGAGGAGGGGGAGGAGAAGAAGGGGAAGGAGGAGGAGGAGGAGGAGGAGGAGGAGGAGGAGGAGGAGGAAGAGAGAAGGAAGGAAGGAAGGAAGGAAGGAAGGAAGGAAGGAAGGAAGGAAGGAAGGAAGGAAGGAGGAGGAGGACGAGGCCCAGGTGGTGAGATGACGCCTACCGTGCTCTCCAGCAACGCCTAGAGGTCTCGGGAGGCCGAGCACGAGGATCGGCCCGAAAGCCCCCCAGGTGCCCCCCCCAAGAGGCCCCTCGAGAGGCATCCCTCGAGCCCCTCGAAATGCATCCAAGAAGCTCCCGATCCGTCGGATTACTTCCAAGATCGTCGCAAGCACTCGCTTCTCCTGGGGGGTCGGCGGAATGGCGTCAGCCACTTGAATAAGCACTCGGGTAAAAATGAGGGCGACGGTACGTGAGGTGATCCGAAACGGGGGAGGCTGGCTGATGGAGTGAATTTCATCTTGGAATCCAGTGCGTCGACGATGGATCGGCGATGCGCCGCTGACGGCGAAAACCAGACGTTCCTGGGCAGAGTGGGGTACCCTGCGATGCAGGGGCGATGGGGAACCGATGCCGTGGGCCAATCACACCTTTCGACGCCTTTGAGTGCAGACGGATGAGCCCAGTTCGCTTTCGCCCCATATCAGTCCCCAGACCCCTCCTGGTCACCGTCTTGACCAGTTTTTCGAGCTGCGTGCATCCGTGGACACGAGGGTATCCCAGGAGGCTCCGAAGAACATGACAAAGTCAAACCTCGCAGCGAGACCGCGACCGCAAGATCGATCATAATCGAATCGGTAAACCGGATCGAATCGAAATATGCATCGGATCGGGCTCCATCGGCACGGAATCGAAATCGAATCGGATCGGCTGCGCCAGGATGCACCACAACGGTGCCATGCAAGCAGCGGGCCTCATCGCATCGTCGGAATCGGATCGGATCGGGCCGGCCAGCACCAACATCGAACCGGATCGATCGGATCGACCTGACCCCTGGCACCTGAGCGCGAGGACGAGGATGCGGCCGGAGGACCCCCCCAGGGCGGGGGCACCGGTGGAGAGGTGCGACGGACGCTGTCCGTGGCCGATTTGACAGAGCCGCGCGGGCTCAAACTCATCTGGCTCCTGAGTCGCGGGGCTGGTCCCTATCCTCCGACTTCTCCCTCCTCCTAGTCCTCCTCCTCCTCCTCCTCCTCCTCCTCCTCCTAGTCCTCCTCCTCCACCTCCTCCTCCTCCTCCTTTCCCCACGCTTCATCCTCCTCCGCCTCCTCCTCCTCCCTCGCCCCTCCTCCTCGCCCCACCTCCCACGCTCCTTCCCCAGCTCCACTCCTCTCTCGCCGCCCGCCCCTCGACCCTGCCTCCTCCCTACCCCCTTCTCTCGTCCTCGATGTTCGCTCCTCTCGCGGCCCGCGCCCCCCCGACGTGTTGATTCCGGCATGTGGGAAAGCACGGAGATCGGCTGACATTGTCTAGGGTCTAGGCTTCCTCTCTCGCCACTCGCCCCTCGACCCTGCCTCCTTCCTACCCCCTTCTCTCGTCCTCGATGTTCGCTCCTCTCTCGGCCCGCGCCAGCGAGTTGGCCTTTTCCATGCTCATGCGGAAACATGCAGCATGAAGCTCTGGCTGGCGTGGAAAAACCAACGCGCGCTGACATAAACGTGGGGGCCTCCTAGATGGGGTCGGAGCATATGGGGTCGGAAGATCGCGCCGCATCGCCGATCCATCGGCGTTTCGGCGCAATCCTCTGACCACATCTGCTCACATCGGCGATGCGGCGCGATCTTCCGACCCCATCTGCTCCGACCCCATCTAGGAGGCCTCTACGTTTATGCCAGCGCGCATTGATTTCTCCACGCCAACCAGAGCTTCATGCTGAATGTTTCCGCATGAGCATGGAAAAGGCCAACTCGCTGGCGCGGGCCGAGAGAGGAGCGAACATCGAGGACGAAAAAAGGGGGTAGGGAGGAGGCAGGGTCGAGGGGCGAGTGGCGAGAGAGGAAGCCTAGACCCTAGACAATGTCAGCCGATCTCCGTGCTTTCCCACATGCCGGAATCAACACGTCGGGGGGGCACACCAAAAAATCTGGCCAGATCCGGGGCCCCCCGACAGGGGCCGGCAGCCCTCTCGTTCTCTACGCCTGCACCTCCCCGAGCGCCGCCGGCGTGGGACATATACACTCAGCCCACATAGTGAGGGTGCGCGACAAGGATGCGAGGGCCTTGGGCGCCCATGTCCAAGCTTTCCGAACGGGGCGCGGCCAACGAAAGAGGCGAAGAGTGGACCGAGGAGGCAAGGATGCACGGGTACCCATGGAAAGGTTGCCCATCCTTACTAGGCGGGTTGACTGTGTTCCCGCGCGCACCTGGACTCTCCTCCACCCACTTCCGCACTAAGTATGGACTGGGTGGGTGGGCCACATCTAGACCTGGTTTCAGTCTATTGAAACTCTGGGTTGCCTCGTGCATGTTATGGACTTGCACCGACCGACGTCCGACGCTTGCTGCTGTGCCACGAACAGCGAACAGCGTTGGGGCGTCCACTGGCGTACATGATGAACCCGTCAATCGAGAGGTCGGCTATCCCATTCCACCAACACCGAAACACATAATCCCTCTGCTGTTACGCACAAGGCCAAAACACGCATGCACTCGACTTGGACCGAACAAGGCTCAGAAGCCATCACTGAACAGTTGCTGGACATTAATCAGCTGTCAACCCAGACCGCGGCTTCATGCCGATTCTCGCATGGCTGACCTAACGAATGCGCAATGACGCTGGCAAACCAAAAAGGAACGTTCATCAACAGCCGTGGGGGCCTCCCACTTCCGCGGAGCTACAACTGAAAACCTAAAGACTGCGAGCCGCCCCACGAGAGTGGGCGAGTGGGGCAGAAACTTTGCACCACGAGCAAGCGTGCAATTCACGTAAGATACAAAGAGACGCCCCACGTGAAGAAACACTAGCTAGATAATGCGCTTGGAAAAAATTCGATCAACCGATGCGAAAGGAACCCCCGCAGAGCCAATAGCGCATGGGGGTCAACCGGGATGGAAGTAACCATCGGAATCAAAAACAACACGACACGCATATACCAAACAGTCGTTCACCGCCCATCCACGCGGCAAGGTGGGTCGACTCACCCCAAGATCTTTCAAGCAGTCACAGCCCTCGCAGCGCGCGCAAACAAAAACCCTCGACGCATCACCTGCAAGGCCCCCGCTACGCGGGGCTACAACTGAAATCTCAAAGACTGCGAGCCTGCGAGCCCCCATAGAGAGGCCAATGGCCCCATGCTGACGTGCACATGCCCTAGCACTGCGAGTGCCAGGGCGGGGTGGGGTGGGGGTGGTGGGGCGACCGCGACTCGGCTGAGTCGCGGAAGCGGGGGGGTGGGGTGGGGGTGGTGGAAGCGAAACCGCGCCCCCTCGCAAATGACCGAGGGCCGTGGCCAACCGTCTTTCAAAATCTGCGCCGGCAGCAGGCGAAACACGAATGGCCGCCGACGTCGCCGCCCACTGGGGGGCTGCCAACAAAACTCACCGCCGAGTATCTGTCTAGGACGTAGTTCGGTACGTCGGCTTTCGAGAACATGTGTTTTCGTAGACCGCTGTAGCTCCGATGATCTGCCCCACAGCCCACGCCGTCGCGCATGCCCCAGATCGCCATCATTAGCCGCGCGACGAGCGGCAAGAGCGCGGCGGATCCCATGGGATGGCCCCATGGAATGCAGACCGAATGCGCAGTGCACCCTGCGCCACTGGAGCCTGCACGCATCCGCGGTGATCGGGAAGAGCTGCTCCTCAGCGGTCAGGCCCTTCATCGTCTCCTCGAGGATAACCTTGGCCAGATCATGCTCGGCGTGGGTTCCCTGACCCGAGCCCGTCGTCACCTTCTCGCCTCGAGTTTCGCAGCCCAGTGACAGCGCCATGTTGCCCGCGCTATCCGTCGACGCATCTCCTCTGCGTAGCGCCGACCAGTCTCGTTCCCAAGCAGTCCGTCGAATTGCACTGTCGACGCGCCTGCTTCGCGCGCCGCCCCCGTACGGCGCAACTCCTGCATCATGATGCCCATGGCCCGCCATGGAATTGGTTGCCCCCCCCCACCCCGCCCGCTGCCTCTGAGGCCTTCGAAGCGCCGCCGGACAACGGCGGGAAATTGCGGTGATCCTCGAATATGTGCATGAATCCATTGACCAGGTAGTTGCCCCCCGAGAACCCCAACCCTCTCGCGTAAGACAGGTCCGACGGGCAAGACGCCAGCTCGCGATCTGGTTCATGCGTCGCGTTGACCGACAGCCCGACTGTCTTGATGTCCACCAAGAACTCTCTGACCGCGCGCTAGATGCCTTGGCTAATCGCGTCACCCACAGCGTGAAATGCTCAGGCGATTGTCGTGGACCAACGACGCCCCTTTCTGATTATCCTGGGCGGGGGCCCTCTTCCAGATGAGGGGGTTGGCGGGGGTCGACCTAGCCCGGCAGCAAGGCGTCGCCCCTCGCCCACCAATGCGGCTGAGGAAGAATATTGTCGCCACTCAGTCGGACGCGCGCGCGCCCGCCTGGAAGTAGTTGGGACCAGACCAAAACCTCAACGTCGCCGACCATGACGTCGCAGAGGCCCGCCTCCGACAGGCCAGCTAGGGCCAGGCCGTCGGCGCTGAAGAAGGCATTCATGTTCCTCGGTGCGCACCTCAACTTGCGACCCCCCCGGGTCTCCTCCGGCGCCCCCCAGGGCGGGCCCCGATTTAGGCCGCGGGCGATGTTGCTCTCTGACGCCGCCGGAGCGGGGCCAGCCGCATCCGACGCGCTGGGGTAACAGCGGCGGCCTGTCGCGCTAGACGCAGCAACCCCGCCGCCCACGACCCGCCCTTGACCGGCGCCCCCACCGACGCCAGAGGGTTCGCTGAAAACCCCAAACCTCCGTCTCCACATCTCGATTGGCCTCGAGGCTTGTCTGATAAGACCCGCGATGGTCCGCAGCTCGAAGACGTCGTGGCGCCCTCCTCCTCCCGCATCCCGAATGCCGCGGCGGCCGCCGACCCTCGGCCGCCTGGGCGCCGCCTGCCGCCGAAGCCTGGCCACGTGCCTTCACCGCGCGCGGCCGCCAACGTTCCAGACGAGTTTCGGCGCCGGCTGTCGCGAGCCCCCCACTCTGGCTCGATGCCCCTGCGCCCCGCCCCCCAGGGCGCAGTCGGGCCCGGGCCAGGAGAACATCCTCCATGAGAGCCCCTGTCGGCCAAAACAGGCAGAACACCCAGGGCCCCCCCTCAGAAAATGCGCAAGAACATCAAACGAACGCGAAGAACACCAGTGTATTTCCCCCGAGCCGACCTTGATCTTATATCTCGGTCCTACTGCAGTCAGGCAGCGGCGGTCGCGCCCGAAAGATGCCCGCGGCGCTCGCAAACCTTTCGCCCGCCCTCCTTTGCCACGGGAGAGCCCGCAGAAAACCTCCTCGTTGGTGGCCCTGGCGAAGCAGCCCGCCTCGTCCTCGGCCCCGAGGCCAAGCGCCCCCTCGCGCACCCTCTTTTCGCCCTGGGGCCCCTCGGAGCAAACGCTCAAAAGGACGGCCGCGAACGCCCAGCCCAAGTTGGCGCTCAGTTTCGCGACCTCCAGGCGCAGCGACTGCGATGCAATCGACCTCGAAAGAATCGCGTGGACCATCCACCACCATCTCCGACGCCGCCTGTGAAAGAGCCTCTCCGGGCCCCTCGCTTCGCAGGCGTCGCACTCCCCCCCCTTCCTGAGTTCGCCCGTCTCGCGCCGAGAGGCAGCGGCAGCTAGGGAAAATGGGGGCTGCGCGAGCGACGCCCGACGCCGACTCCAGGGCCCCTGGCCGCCTTAAGGACAGCGCAGCCTCCCCGTCGTCCTCCTCGCCCTCCTTCACGACCTCCTCCTCGATCTCCTCGAAGACCTCGCTGGCCCTCGCCGACAAGGTCTGGAGACCTCCCTTCGGCATTTCCCCCCTGCGCTCCTCGCTCGTTGCAAAGGCCCGCGCCTCGACGCGCCCGTGCTCGGAAGCACCCGCCACGTAAGCCATCGGGAACCACTCCGTCTCCTGGCCCGACCGGTAGTAAGCCGACGCACCCGCCAGGCATGCGAGCTCGGACAACGCCACCCGGGCCA